TAATGATGGTCACATCAACAGCTACATGATATATCAGTCTTCTTCACCCTCTGCTTTCCCTGTACAATACAGACTATAATTACAAAGTGGTCAACAATGTTCTGAATCTTTATTACTCCTTCACTACATCTTTTTGTAGTGTCAGAAAATTTCTCTTTGAACTTCTTTCCTATGACACAAAAAGTCCACTGAGACTCATAAATCCTAATGCCATTTAATCAGTCAGAAACATTTTCATAAGCTCTCACTAGATTTGGTACAGAGATTATTTGTAACTATGGAATCAATTAATTAATGAGAAATTGAAAAAAACTGCAAAGAAACTTTTAAATTATGGTGATGATTTACATCACTCAGAACTTTTTTAATGGAACAGACTGATTCTTCATAAGAGAGTTATGACCATTTGTATCACTTTTTCTCTTTCTAAATAATGAATATAAATGGTATTTGTTTGTTAAATCAGCCTTTTTCATATCCTGTGTAACCAAGTCCCCATCTCATTGTGCAATGGACCTACATTTTTCCTAGTCTTCCTTTTGCCTTCTAGGTACTTAGAAAAGCTCTTCTGTTGCTTTTTTTTGACATCTTTTATCATGTATAGCTGAATTTACCAAATTTCACAGTGGTATCATCAATGAAACTGATTTTTCTTCTGCAGCACATGTTAAAGGTTCTCTTAAAGGGAACTAATTTTAGAAAAAATATGAAACAACTTATTTTCAAAATTATTATCATGTAAAGGGAGGAAAATAATAATAATAAAAACAAATACAAGTAATACTTTGAAAATGTTTTTTGATTGTCTAAATAAAATGTATGAAAAAGAACACAGAGTTTTGAACAGTTTGCCCTGCAATTTCTACAATCCTCAAGCACACGTTGTTTCTACGTATGTAGAGATCCAGCTGGTTTTCATACAAGGTGCATCTGTATACTTCAGAGCAGAATTTGGCAAATATTTAAAAAAATGCTACAAACAAACAAAACTTCATGCATCACGAGATAGTAAGACTTAGGTTGAATTTGCAGGATTTATCTTGCATGAAATTCCCATGCTTAGTAAGTTCCTAGTTAACCAAAGACTGCAAACTAAAAGGTCAGCATTTAAGAAATTCCCAGACAGATAATTATGAAACCCTTCCATGACAGTAACACAGATTTCATATACATTTTTATGTAGTTTTAGAACTGCCTACTTGGAGAAGTGTGCTCCATAGCACCAGTCACAGGCCAGCATTCCACTACAGCTAAATTCTGGATTTGGTCTTCTATGGCTATGTTGTATTTTTCCTTTGGAGCAGCAATGAAGTTTTGAAGCAAACCTGACAGTCCTCAGTTGCTACCTGGCGGTTTGCTTCACTAATTAAGAGTTTTGGTGTGTACTAGGTTGCTTTAGCAGGAAGCTAAACTGGAAGTCCTCTTAGATGCATATCCATCAATCTCCAATGTTTAAGAGGATATAAGCTCCAAAGAACCTTACACAGCTTTCAGCCAGGGATCAGAGTAAATCTAATCCAACAGAAAATCTTCAAATCTCATATAGCATTGATGTATGGGCCTAAGCACCAAATACATTGCTGTGATGCTCTAATCAGGAATAGCATGACTAGCAGTAGAGAGGTGATCATGCCCCTGTACTTGGTACTGGTGAGGCTACACACTGAGTACTGTGTGCAGTTCTGGGCCCCTCACTACAGGAAGCACATTGAGGTACTGGAGCATGTCCAGAGAAGAGCCACCAAGCTGGTGAGGGGTCTAGAGAACAAGTCATATGGGAAGCTGCTGAGGGAACTGGGGGTGTTTATTTTGGAGAAAAGGAGGCTGAGGGGAGACCTCATTGCCCTCTACAACTACCTGAAAGGAGGTTGGAGGGAGGTGGGTGTTGGCCTCTTCTCCCAAGTGAATAATGACAGAATCAGAGAAAATGGCATGAAGTTGTGGCAGAGAAGGTTTAGATTGGACATTGGGAAGAATTTCTCTACTGAAAGAGTGGTCAGGAACTGGAACAGTCTGCCCAGGGAGGTGGTAGAGTCATCATCCTTGGAAGTATTCAAGACGTGTTCAGGGCATGCTCTAGTGGCCAAGACTGTAGGGGTTATGTGTTGTGGGTTTTTTGGGGGTATGGTTTTGTGTTGTTTTGTGTGTTATTGTTTTTTTTGTTTGTTGGGGGTTTTTTTAAGGTTTGTTTGTTTGGTTTTTATGGTTGCTGTCAGTGATCTCAGAGGTCCTTTCCAACCATGATTATTCTGTGACTCTGTAATAATCTTATGCAGACATTACCTATACCTCCTGATATTTTACCGCAAACTTGCATATTACTGATTTCTAGCATGGAAGTCAAATTTTTAGCTTTATTAGTTCACCACTTGGGACTAAACAAGGCAGATGCCATCACTACACTGCAACTGATCATGAATGTTTCAGATCGTTTGTGTGTAGTGTTTTGATATTTTTCTTTGAAGTTCTGTGTTTGCACTTAACTCCCACACTTCAACATCTGTAACTTTTGTAGATGCAACAAAACAAAAGTTCAGCTGAATTATCTGCATTAAGTGAACCCTGAATGGTGTTAAACTTCATGTAAAGGAAAAACACAGGTTCAAATATCTATACTCTCCTTCAGAGAAAAGTTAAAGAAAATAACTATACAGAACTACCAAGGACACTATGCAATTTTGTTTGTCTAACATACCTTGAAAGTTTAAAACTATTAAGTGTAATACAGATGCTACTATTATCTTAAAATATTTTTTTTCATTGCTAACACAGCTCAGGCTACTTACTGCTGAATAAAGAAGAAAATATTTACAACACTGTCTTACTGGGTTTTTTTTTGTTTGGTTTGGCTTTGTGGGTTGTTTTAACATTTTTGTCCTGTTTAATTATTGCCACCCTTTGACTTCTCAGAAATAGAGCCAAATAAATTAAGAGATTTGAGAAAGCTGTACCTCTGGAGATTACTGTTAGCCTCCTCACATAAATAATGGTTTAATTTGTCATTAACACAGCTGACATTCAATTTGCTTATCTCTCCTTCAGATAAAATCTCAGTTACACCTCAGCTTTACATAAAGAGCAGAAAGTATAGAGTATTTTACTTTCAGAATTACAGAACTCCATCCATTCAGTTTAAAAGCACGTACTACACACCTCTCATCCTGTTCCACAAAAACAATACCATAACACATTATAGGAACATACCCTGATTTTTAGTTCCCTAGACATGTAGTTAAGCAAGAATAATTTCACATGAAAGCAACATTAAGCTGTGATTTAAGCTTGTTTTCAAC